GTGGGGTGATGGTGGGGGTGATGGTGGGGGTGATGGTGGGGTGATGGTGGGGGTGAGGGGGATGAGGGAGACAGGAGAGGTCACCTTGGCAGATACTACAGTGTAAAGTTACATTACTAGCTTCTCAGTGTGTGGTGGGGTCAGGGTGTGGCTGTTGTGGGGTCAGGGTGTGGCTGTGGTGGGGGTCAGGGTGTAGCTGTGGTGGGGTCAGGGTGTGGTTGTTGTGGGGTCAGGGTGTGGCTGTTGTGGGGGTCAGGGTGTGGCTGTGGTGGGGGTCAGGGTGTAGCTGTGGTGGGGGTCAGGGTGTGGTTGTGGTGGGGTCAGGGTGTGGCTGTGATGGGGTCAGGGTGTGGCTGTGGTGGGGGCCAGGGTGTGGCTGTGGTGGGGTTCAGGGTGTGGCTGTTGTGGGGTCAGGGTGTGGCTGTGAGGGTCAGGGTGTGGCTGTGGGGGTCAGGGTGTGGCTGTGGCGGTCACTGTAGAAGGGTGTGGCTGTGGCGGTCACTGTAGAAGGGTGTGGCTGTGGCGGTCACTGTAGAAGGGTATGGCTGTGGCGGTCACTGTAGAAGGGTGTGGCTGTGGCGGTCACTGTAGAATTGTGTGGCTGTGGCGGTCACTGTAGAAGGGTTTGGCTGCGGCGGTCACTGTAGAAGGGTGTGGCTGTGGCGGTCACTGTAGAAGAGTATGGCTGAAGGATTTTTCACTGTAGGGAAGACCGTACGTGGTAACTGTCCTGGTGACCAACAGAAACGAAGATTCTGTACGTACGGATAAAGAACTCAGTTTGACAACCTGTCTCCAGTAATTCTGTGGCGGCGGCACAGAGAGACTACAACGTTGTATATATGACCCTGACGTAGAATTCTATACAGGAGACTGCTGAAGAAAGTAGTGACACATGGTACCGGAGAAGATATTCTCCTGACATGGGGAAATATGTGGGTGGGAATGGTTGTATGTGAGAAATACCTGACTAATTAAGGGCCAGTAGGGCTACCGCGGTGTTCCTCCATTCTTATGTTCGAAAAGTCAACAACAGGTTGAATGGGTAGCAATATTTGAAGACGTTTCACAAACAAGTGGCCCTTTTTTTTTTCATTCCAATACACAGATAATTTTTGATCACGGAAGATTTTGTATTAATCTGATAAAGTCACTTGTTGATACTGTCTTCAAGCAAAGATACCCAAGTGTTGATACAATGTCTTCAAGCAAAGGTACCCAGGTGTTGATATAATGTCTTCAAGGTACCCAGGTGTTGCACATAAGTCTAATTCCTTATCTTACCAGCATGGAATACCATAATTGTAATAAAAGATTGCATAAATGGGAAGAAATCGGTATGGGGACCAGCCACAAACGGCGTTAAGCAGGGGAGTCAGTGTCGGAACCCTCACTATTCGCGACCAACAAACACAACTGAGACAGTGGACAGACATGACATACACGCAGGCCGATCCACAATTTATGAGTCTCCTCTGTATTCGACTGAAGAAGCCTACTGTGTATGCGACGCGTTTCGGAATAAAGTTACCTAACTGCTGCACACGTGTCTTATTAACTTGAGTCAGACACCTGGAGACATGAAGGATGATCTGGATAAGTTGATGTTGTGGCCAGAAAAGTGACAGATGCTGTTCAATGAGGACAGCTATAAGGTTCGAGTACTAGGGAGAAGAAAGTGACCACAGCACCTACGTAGTAAACAATGTCGAATCTTAACAGAATAGGACAAAGATTTAAGAGTTCTGTTAAGCTGAAATCTAAGAGACAACACATGCGAGTGTTTACAATAAACCTAATTGACTTCTTATAGTCACATCAAAATTTGTAAGTGGTCGAAGGTTACAGCACAACTCGGAGGAAGTGTGCCTGCTCGATTCGACCGTATTTGCTTGGAATTCCTCCCTTTCCTGCACCATTGCAAGCTCCTGATGTGTTGATTGCAACACGGAAGGCCTGGAGTTATCATTCAACTCCCCCAGGGGTTCCTTTGCATATTGAATCGCTTGTTCACAATTACTGCATATTTTAATAATATGGGTGTATTGGGGAGGGAGAGAACGTGGGATAGGGAAGAAAGGCGGAGGTGTTGTAGTGTGAGGGATGAAGTATGGGTGTTGGAGGAAACACAGGATGTTGGAGGAAGTGTTGAAGGAGTGTAATAACACCTTGTCTTGGTCTTGTGCTCGCGTGGTAAGGAGTGCAAGAGGAAGAAATGAGAAATAGAAAGAAAAGTAAGAGTGTAGAATAGAGAGAGAGGTAGGGGGCAAGAGAAAAGAAAAAAAAGATTAAAATATTTGATTTGCGCTTCAAAACATCGAAGGGAGAACAAAAATAATGAACAAGAGTGAATGAGGATGTGCATGAGTGTGTCTTAGAGGACATTACCTCACGCGAGTGCCTGATAAGTATGTAAAGATGTGAGTGCATCCTCTGCTTGGATGTGTAGACATGCTACCAGCCCCTGTGGACATGCTACTAGCCCCTGTGGACATGCTACTAGCCCCTGTGGACATGCCACTAGCCCGGCTGCCACAAATACCCACAACATAACAGGCACAGTAAATTGTTGTTGACATCTCAGGTCTCGCTAAAAGTGTCAAGGCGGAAGACTTCCCCAGTGGTAGTGGTGGTGGTGGTGGTGGTGGTGGTCTGGCCAAGACTTGCACCACCAGTGGTGTTTGTGGCTAAGACAGGCATCACCGGTGGTGTGTGTGGGCCAGGAGACCCGCTAGCCGCCGGTGGTGATGCTGGTGGCGTCAGATCTTCAGCGTTTGATCTATCTTATAAAGATGCTTTTGTTGCGGTTCTAACAACTGAATCTCTCGTTACTTACTCTTGTGTTGCGTTCACAACACCTGCTGTCACAACACCTGTTACCACAACACTTGCTGTCACAATACCTGTTACCACAACACCTGCTGTCACAATACCTACTGTCACAACACCTGCTGTCACAATATCTGCTGTCACAACACTTGCTGTCACAACACCTGTCACACCTTCCGTAACACCTGCTATCACATTTGCTGTCAAACACCTGCCGTCACAACACCTAAGCCCTTAATTAAGTGGTAAATCCTCACGGAGGCCCAGAAACACTCCTTCCTAACCAGCTTACCTACTTACCACACGTACACGTACATGTGTACGTGTGGGCACAGCCGTGCTCGTGTGCTCGCCTTACTAAACACACACCACCAACATATGTTTATACACATTGTAAAAGCTATTTCTTTTATCAAATTATTTATAATGTAAATAGTTACACTAAAAATAAATGCTGTGTTAAAGTGCCAGATTTTGACAAGATAAACCTTACAGGTAGACGTTATTGGTAGACGTTATTGGTAGACGTTATTGGTAGACGTTATTGGTAGAACGTTCCCACTATCGACCAGGAAAAATCGTTCTCACAATGTTAGTTGTAGGTGTTTATTATGGAATTTTGTGCGTAGTTTTAGTCATTTTAAGGACTGTTTTGTAGGTGTGTGTGTGTGTGTGTGTGTGTGTGTATGGTGAAGCTCAGGAAGATTTTTATGGAAATAAGTTAGTCAGACTTGAGTCCTGGAGGGCAGTGCAGTGACTACACTCTGAAGGATGGGTGGAGATGTTGTGGTTCTGGAGGTGGGAAGTCCAGTGTCTGCACTCTGAAGGATGGGTGGAGATGATGTGGTTCTGGAGGTGGGAAGTCCAGTGTCTGCACTCTGAAGGATAGGTGGAGATGATGTGGTTCTGGAGGTGGGAAGTCCAGTGTCTGCACTCTGAAGGATGGGTGGAGATGATGTGGTTCTGGAGGTGGGAAGTCCAGTGTCTGCACTCTGAAGGATGGGTGGAGATGTTGTGGTTCTGGAGGTGGGAAGTCCAGTGTCTGCACTCTGAAGGATGGGTGGAGATGATGTGGTTCTGGAGGTGGGAAGTCCAGTGTCTGCACTCTGAAGGATAGGTGGAGATGATGTGGTTCTGGAGGTGGGAAGTCCAGTGTCTGCACTCTGAAGGATAGGTGAGGATGCTGCAGTTTGGCAGAACATTTTAATTGTAATATCTCCGCATGTCTGGAAAGCCAGCTAGTGAACGAATAATGGTGCATATGATTCCTTCTCCGGATCAGTCTGCCTTGATGGAAAATGGCTGACGATTTAACAAGAAAATAAGACTGGAGAAGGTCCAGGACAGAGAGACACAGATGATACACAGACTAAGACGTAAATCTTACGAGACATGAGGTGGTGGTTCACAGTTTCAATGAGACCGACATAAATTTTTAAACTCATCCGAGTGTAAGACATTCTTCACTCAAAGAGTATCATATCAAATAATCTAACACTTGATAATGAAAAATAATTGTTTATTATTCGTATGGTAAATACACTAGACACTGCCAAGGCGCAAGTGCGAGTGACTCTGTAAGCAAACATTCGTTTGAACAATAAAATCCGCTACTTACGTTCTTTGATTTAGTCTAAACTCTCCCTAAACAAACTGCCCAAAGATCTACTGACTGCCTTTGTTTACTACACAGGTGGCATCACCTTTGTAGTAGCCTGTGATTGACACTGTCAGAGACAGACATACGCAAGAGCGGGGTCAGGCGTAGTGCAGGTGCAGTGCAGAGACGCGGGATGGACGGGAGAGATAAGGGAGATAGATTGGCAGGGAGTACAGAGGGGGTGGTGGGGTAAGTGTCATTCTGGCACTGTGAAAACTTTCTGATTATCACTTTTCCTCACTGAAAAGCTCACTGAATTTTCCTGGACGTGCACCTGCATCACTTGACATTACATCATTCGGGAACTTCAGTCAGAATTTGGGAATATATCCATAACTGTGGGAGTGAAAGAAGTGTTAGTCAAACTTTGAGGTGGTGTGATGTTGCGGTCTTGTCCTCACCCCCATAATACATGGGGGTGGGGAGCAGAACGCTGTGATTGGATGAAGGTAGCGATACTACCCCCCAACGGGGTCTGGCACTTGACATACCTGAGGTGGGGGTGGGGAAGGCATGACACCACCTCCAGCCTGCCAAAACGCTTCTCCACCCACTACCAGTGTCCACTCCGGCCTCTGACCATAAGCTCGCAGGACACACTAGTGGGCGGTGGGAGGTCTTCGGCTCGGACCGCACAACTTGGGCTTCGCAAACACTCCACTTCCGTCCACGAAGCAGCTTCCGAGGCCGAGATTTGGGAAGGGGAGCCGGCCCAGCTCGTCTCCTGATTGGACAGAGTTATAACCCAAATTTAGCAGGAAGCGGAAAAGAAGGGAAGATGGGAGATAACGTAGTGGATAACGTGGAAGAGCCGCCAGCTACTGAGGTAACAGAGGGGGGAGACGCGCCCCTCACCCTCTCAGATCAACTACAAGAAATCGAAAAAGAAGAACGTAAGGCTAGAAGGAGGCGATATGGATCTTGGAAGAAACCTCCTAGTTACGTTTACGCAACCAATTTTGGTTTTGGAGTGCAAAGTTATCAGCCCATGATTGAGTACCTCGATGCGAAAGATGATGGGCAACCAGTCAACAAAGATGACGTCCACCTTCCCATGATCGAGGAGCGGTGCATGACCAAACACGCGGCCGACAAGCCCTTCAGGTGGTACAAGAATAGCGATATTGACAAATATATCGACAAGGGGGAAAAGATCCGTACGCAGATTAGGCAGAACGATGCCATAGGAGTGAGTAACGTGTTGAGAAGAACACACACCAACTGGTCTATGACAAGAAAGTGGGTTCAAAGTGTCAAAAAATCGTACGTGGTAGACTATCGTAAACTACACAAGAAGGCAGCAGAGTTTGAGGATGTAGACTATGTAGACTACCGTCCGCCAACTCCCGTCAAGGCCGTTTACTACCGAGAACTCACGCCAAGACCACGCTATCTCGACGATTTGTCCTCCGAGTTTGCCAGTGTTGTGAAAACCCTCGCCCAGAGCAGGATGGAGCACGAGAACGAACTGGCAGCGCGTAGGGAAAAGATGAAGATGTTGGACGAAAAATTCGAAGACACTGTCGATCATATTTACAGTCAGATGAGACACATCAGTCAGCGCGCTGACCAGTACGCCTCCTCCGCTAATGACCCCCGGAAAATTGACACCGTTGAATACGACACGATCCTCCGGAATAGGACTCGCCGTGATGAGGAGCTAAAAAATATGATGGAATGTGTAAACGAGCTCACGGAAATGGACAGTGCCAGGAACAAACTGCGCGCAAGCTTGCGCAGCTTAGACGATGAGGTGCATGGGCTGAGCAGCCGCGTGGACGACATGAGGCACCTTCATACGACGGAGCGCCTGCAGAGTACAGACACCAACGTTGAACTGGACATGTTAAGGGCACAACTTGCCGCTCGCAGAAGTTATTCTCGTCCCAGCTCCATTGCTCGGGATGACGAGGAAGATGACTACGATGAAGTGAAAACCTGCAGGAAGCCAAAGCAAGCCATACTCTTGCCAAAACGCGAGAGGGTAACCGCCAAGCCCAGGGAGCCACTGCTGCAGGATGAAGTGATCTCCGACGTGTACGCTCGCGTCCTTAACAAGGCTGGGGAGTTGGGTACTCGAACTAGTGAACAGCGAAGGATCAACAGCCGAGCTCGCTTCGTCAATGTATTCAAGCCTCGTCCCGACACAGCTGACCGCGAACTCCTGGTGCCTCCCTCCCTCACCGAACTCAACATCGACTACATGGCGAAGACTCTGGCTACGAAAGGCGCCTGCCAGCGTCGCTACGATATTGACGCCGAAGTCCCGGCTCCTCGCTCCAACATCAACACCAACGCCTTCAAGGATTACTGTGAACTGAGAGCTAGGAAGCCCATTGAGGAGCACCCATCACTCAGTAACCGTGTGAGGTATGCCAACATCAGGGCCCGCGCCAGGAGCACCCTCCTCGGGTACTAGACCACCAAGCCTAATCCCTATCCTAGAAATATATACTCTATTCCCGGCATCCAAGAAGACGCTCCTGCCGCTCGCTACCACCTGACAACACTTGCTCCCAACCCCCCTCCCCACGTCGAAACAACACAAGAGGAACCCACAGAAATCTTCGCTCACATCACCGTCAGAACACGACCCCCGAGGGAACCAAGGAACGCCTTCGGTCTCACCACTATCGGTCCAGAGGAGTCCCCAGGAATACAACCTGTCTCTCCGAACAGTTCCACAATCCTCCCAATGTTTACTCAACACCTCGGTCTTCTCAAAAGCCCGAGGTGGTGAAGTGAGCTGGAAAAAACATTAATGAACAGTGAGTTTGTGCTTAGTGGATAAGATCAATCTGTGTGTGAGCTGTGTGGACCAGACCTCACCAGATTCTCTTCTTATGGAGACGTTGTATTCAGTGTTGACCACCACGAACTGTGTTCCCTGCTGCCTAGTGTTGTCAGAACGAACTGTAATGTTTAAACAGTACGAACAAACGACGAAGTTTTACGAAATATTTCTGTTTCATTTTACGATACACTTGTTTAAAATTTATTTTCGTGCGGTCAAGCAATATATGTGTGTGGCTTGCAGGTATTTTATTTATAAAAGCTACTCGTTACATATACTTTTTATTGATTGGTATATATACTTTTATGTACACATTATATCCTGACATTGTGGTATATAAATAAATGTTTTTATAACACATTACTATGTGTATGATTCAGACAACCTGCGAGGGAGAGAGTAAAGATAGATCTCTTGCTCACTTCTCTCACTACTTCCCTCACTCCTTCCCTCCATCCCTACCTCCCTCAGATCAGTAAGGAATGCTGGTTTTCTCTCTCTCTCTCAATCAGGGGGTTCGTTGTTTACACTACCCTGGGGTTCGTTACTTAATTTACACTACCCTGGGGTTCGTTACTTTACACTACCCTGGGGTTCGTTACTTTACACTACCCTGGGGTTCGTTACTTAATTTACACTACCCTGGGGTTCGTTACTTACTTTACATTACCCTGGGGTTCGTTACTTACTTTACATTACCCTGGGGTTCGTTACTTAATTTACACTACCCTGGGGTTCGTTACTTAATTTACACTACCCTGGGGTTCGTTACTTTACACTACCCTGGGGTTCGTTACTTACTTTACACTACCCTGGGGTTCGTTGTTTACTTTACACTACCCTGGGGTTCGTTACTTACTTTACACTACCCCGGGGTTCGTTACTTACTTTACACTACCCTGGGGTTCGTTACTTACTTTACACTACCCTGGGGTTCGTTACTTTACACTACCCTGGGGTTCGTTACCTTACACTACCCTGGGGTTCGTTACTTAATTTACACTACCCTGGGGTTCGTTACTTACTTTACACTACCCTGGGGTTCGTTACTTAATTTACACTACCCTGGGGTTCGTTACTTACTTTACACTACCCCGAGGTTCGTTACTTACTTTACACTACCCTGGGGTTCGTTACTTACTTTACACTACCCTGGGGTTCGTTACTTTACACTACCCTGGGGTTCGTTACCTTACACTACCCTGGGGTTCGTTACTTACTTTACACTACCCTGGGGTGCGTTACTTTACACTACCCTGGGGTTCGTTACTTTACACTACCCTGGGGTTCGTTACTTACTTTACACTACCCTGGGGTTCGTTACTTTACACTACCCTGGGGTTCGTTACTTTACACTACCCTGGGGTTCGTTACTTTACACTACCGTGGGGTTCGTTACTTTACACAACCCTGGGGTTCGTTACTTTACACTACCCTGGGGTTCGTTACTTTATACTACCCTGGGGTTCCTTACTTTACACTACCCTGGGGTTCGTTACTTTACACTACCGTGGGGTTCGTTACTTTACACTACCGTGGGGTTCGTTACTTTACACTACCCTGGGGTTCCTTACTTTACACTACCCTGGTTATCTTCTAATCTACTATTTTAACTTGGGGTTAAAGTGTAACATCTGCCTCTCCCAGGGGCTCCTCAGGGTTAAAGTGTAACATCTGCCTCTCCCAGGGGCTCCTCAGGGTTAAAGTGTAACATCTGCCTCTCCCAGGGGCTCCTCAGGGTTAAAGTGTAACATCTGCCTCTCCCAGGGGCTCCTCAGGGTTAAAGTGTAACATCTGCCTCTCCCAGGGGCTCCTCAGGGTTGAAGAAAACACTAAGATACGTTCAATAAAATACAACAAGACAACAATAACAGTTATTAAGAGAGAACTTCCATGTAGGTGTTTATGACCCAAAAATGATTTAAGTCAAGACTACGCTTACTGTCGTAGTCAAGACCACGCTTACTGTCGTAGTCAAGACCACACTGTCGCAGTCAAGACCACGCTTACTGTCGTAGTCAAGACCACGCTTACTGTCGTAGTCAAGACCACGCTTACTGTCGTAGTCAAGACCACACTTACTGTCGCAGTCAAGACCACGCTTACTGTCGTAGTCAAGACCACGCTTACTGTCGTAGTCAAGACCACACTTACTGTCGCAGTCAAGACCACGCTTACTGTCGTAGTCAAGACCACGCTTACTGTCGTAGTCAAGACCACACTTACTGTCGTAGTCAAGACCACGCTTACTGTCGTAGTCAAGACCACACTTACTGTCGCAGTCAAGACCACGCTTACTGTCGTAGTCAAGACCACGCTTACTGTCGTAGTCAAGACCACGCTTACTGTCGTAGTCAAGACCACACTTACTGTCGTAGTCAAGACCACGCTTACTGTCGTAGTCAAGACCACGCTTACTGTCGCAGTCAAGACCACGCTTACTGTCGTAGTCAAGACCACGCTTACTGTCGCAGTCAAGACCACACTTATACATGTACGCAGTCAAGACCGACGCTTACTGTCGTAGTCAAGACCACGCTTACTGTCGTAGTCAAGACCACACTTACTGTCGTAGTCAAGACCACGCTTACTGTCGTAGTCAAGACCACACTTACTGTCGTAGTCAAGACCACGCTTACTGTCGTAGTCAAGACCACGCTTACTGTCGTAGTCAAGACCACGCTTACTGTCGTAGTCAAGACCACGCTTACTGTCGTAGTCAAGACCACGCTTACTGTCGTAGTCAAGACCACGCTTACTGTCGTAGTCAAGACCACGCTTACTGTCGTAGTCAAGACCACGCTTACTGTCGTAGTCAAGACCACGCTTACTGTCGTAGTCAAGACCACGCTTACTGTCGTAGTCAAGACCACGCTTACTGTCGTAGTCAAGACCACGCTTACTGTCGTAGTCAAGACCACGCTTACTGTCGTAGTCAAGACCACGCTTACTGTCGTAGTCAAGACCACGCTTACTGTCGTAGTCAAGACCACGCTTACTGTCGTAGTCAAGACCACACTTACTGTCGTAGTCAAGACCACGCTTACTGTCGTAGTCAAGACCACACTTACTGTCGTAGTCAAGACCACGCTTACTGTCGTAGTCAAGACCACGCTTACTGTCGTAGTCAAGACCACGCTTACTGTCGTAGTCAAGACCACGCTTACTGTCGTAGTCAAGACCACGCTTACTGTCGTAGTCAAGACCACGCTTACTGTCGTAGTCCAAGACCACGCTTACTGTCGTAGTCAAGACCACACTTACTGTCGTAGTCAAGACCACGCTTACTGTCGTAGTCAAGACCACGCTTACTGTCGTAGTCAAGACCACGCTTACTGTCGTAGTCAAGACCACGCTTACTGTCGTAGTCAAGACCACGCTTACTGTCGTAGTCAAGACCACGCTTACTGTCGTAGTCAAGACCACCTTACTGTCGTAGTCAAGACCACACTTACTGTCGTAGTCAAGACCACGCTTACTGTCGTAGTCAAGACCACACTTACTGTCGTAGTCAAGACCACACTTACTGTCGTAGTCAAGACCACACTTACTGTCGTAGTCAAGACCACACTTACTGTCGTAGTCAAGACCACACTTACTGTCGTAGTCAAGACCACGCTTACTGTCGTAGTCAAGACCACGCTTACTGTCGTAGTCAAGACCACACTTACTGTCGTAGTCAAGACCACGCTTACTGTCGTAGTCAAGACCACACTGTCGTAGTCAAGACCACGCTTACTGTCGTAGTCAAGACCACGCTTACTGTCGTAGTCAAGACCACACTTACTGTCGTAGTCAAGACCACACTTACTGTCGTAGTCAAGACCACACTTACTGTCGTAGTCAAGACCACACTTACTGTCGTAGTCAAGACCCACACGTTTACTGTCGTAGTCAAGACCACACTTACTGTCGTAGTCAAGACCACGCTTACTGTCGTAGTCAAGACCACACTTACTGTCGTAGTCAAGACCACACTTACTGTCGTAGTCAAGACCACGCTTACTGTCGTAGTCAAGACCACGCTTACTGTCGTAGTCAAGACCACACGCTTCAACACTACGTTAGTCAACCCGCTTACTGTCGTATCAAGACCACACTTCGTAGCAAGACCACACTTACTGTCGTAGTCAAGACCACCTTACTGTCGTAGTCAAGACACACGCTTACTGTCGTAGTCAAGACCACGCTTACTGTCGTAGTCAAGACCACGCTTACTGTCGTAGTCAAGACCACCTTACTGTCGTAGTCAAGACACCTTACTGTCGTAGTCAAGACCACACTTACTGTCGTAGTCAAGACCACACTTACTGTCGTAGTCAAGACCACGCTTACTGTCGTAGTCAAGACCACACTTACTGTCGTAGTCAAGACCACAGCTTACTGTCGTAGTCAAGACCACCTTACTGTCGTAGTCAAGACCACACTTACTGTCGTAGTCAAGACCACACTTACTGTCGTAGTCAAGACCACACTTACTGTCGTAGTCAAACCACACTTACTGTCGTAGTCAAGACCACACTTACTGTCGTAGTCAAGACCACACTTACTGTCGTAGTCAAGACCACACTTACTGTCGTAGTCAAGACCACACTTACTGTCGTAGTCAAGACCACACTTACTGTCGTAGTCAAGACCACACTTACTGTCGTAGTCAAGACCACACTTACTGTCGTAGTCAAGACCACACTTACTGTCGTAGTCAAGACCACACTTACTGTCGTAGTCAAGACCACACTTACTGTCGTAGTCAAGACCACACTTACTGTCGTAGTCAAGACCACACTTACTGTCGTAGTCAAGACCACACTTACTGTCGTAGTCAAGACCACACTTACTGTCGTAGTCAAGACCACACTTACTGTCGTAGTCAAGACCACACTTACTGTCGTAGTCAAGACCACCTTACTGTCGTAGTCAAGACCACACTTACTGTCGTAGTCAAGATCACACTTACTGTCGTAGTCAAGACCACGCTTACTGTCGTAGTCAAGACCACACTTACTGTCGCAGTCAAGACCACGCTTACTGTCGTAGTCAAGACCACACTTACTGTCGTAGTCAAGACCACGCTTACTGTCGAGTCAAGACCACGCTTACTGTCGTAGTCAAGACCACCTTACTGTCGTAGTCAAGACCACGACTTACTGTCGTAGTCAAGACCACACTTACTGTCGTAGTCAAGACCACGCTTACTGTCGTAGTCAAGACCACAGCTTACTGTCGTAGTCAAGACCACGCTTACTGGTCCGCTAGTCAGCAGACCACGCTTACTGTCGCAGTCAAGACCACGCTTACTGTCGTAGTCAAGACCACGCTTACTGTCGTAGTCAAGACCACGCTTACTGTCGTAGTCAAGACCA